AGTGTTGGACAAACTTATATTTACAGATACAAGATGGTTCTTGAGAAGTAACCGCAAGAACATATTAATAATTTTGGTAATCAGTCTGTCCATCATCCTCAAAATCTATACCAAGTTCCGTGTATGATGAGAAACTACTCAGAATATGCCAGGGACCAACGTTTTAAGCGCTGCCAATATTGCGGTGTTTGCCATTCAGCGCTTTCACACCGCAGTACTTTCCCCACTTTAGTTGCCATCAAACCTAGCTTGATCAGAATAACTCTTTAGTTCTCATGAACTAAGTACAGATCGGCGTTCACACGGAATAAATCCCTGGGGGAGGAGTTTAGGCCAATTAAGCCGCTGACGCTCACTTTCTCTTCTTCTTCCTTCCTGCTTGAGGGTTTTACTGGCAGGCCGCAAACAACAAGCAGTGTTGGGACTGTAACGCCGTTATTTTTGGCAAGTAGCCTAGTACTCTAACGCATTATTTTTTGTAAATTCAGTAGCTCAGTTACCGTTAATACATTGCGTCGTTATCCGTTTTTTTTTTTATATAGTTCGTTTGGCCGCCGTTTCTCAATCGCGAGTCACACATGCTGGCAGAGCAACCTAGGCTTGTTTGAGACACAACGAGACCTGCGCAATTTCGATCAACGCCTTGCTAGTGCGTTGCATGAATGGTTAGTCATTTTTGTCCGACTTGCTCTGGAGGCTCGCTCACATGAGACGGTGTGAAATTCGCGGGACAAAGACGCCCAGCAGCCTCGAGAGCGAGGCGCCGGCGAGGCGCGCAGTTCTCTCCACGGGCTTGCGGAGGCGAAATGCTTGGATGGGAAACGACTCGCTGGTATCGTCGAGCTGCAGCCGCTGTCATTGGTGGTTTTTTACCCCGTGCTGCTGCGATGAAGCTCTCCAAATTGGCTCCGGCAAAAGTTTGTTGTTGTTTTGTGGTCAGTTTACGTCGCCCTTCCACTAACCATATTATTCAATAATTGGTTCCCACAATGTTTATCATCAATGAAATTATATCCTATATAAGTTTTTATACTATACTTTGCACCTGCTTACCCGTCTTTCATAACTTTATATATCTGAGCATATCATCACACACTGTTCATACTGCTCCACAGGCTGCTGTGTATATTCCATCGACCCTCACTGTGTTATTCATCATTCAATTCATTCTAGTATTTTATATTCTGTAGATTGTGTACAGTTACTTTTCCACTTTACTGCTTGTTGCCCACTCCTGGTTAGAAGCTAAAACCCGCATTTCCGTTGTCTCAGTACCTGTAATCTGTGCAATAACAATAAAGTTGAAATCTAACATCTTGAGCTGGAACAAATGTATCTTACTTAGTACACGTATCGAATTAACGATTAAACATCATCTCGGCTGCTGTGGTAAAATGCATAAATGCAAACCGAGTCAAGCCGACTCCGGAGGTGGCGGTATGCACCTTAAAGTTGTTTGCAATCCGCCAAAAAACCGAGAGAAGAAGAAGAAAAAGGCGAAGAAGAAGCCGACTCGGAGCTGTCCGATTTCAGGCGAGCTTTTTGAGACCTCCCCCGGCTGCGATCGGCTATTCTCGTCTACTTTCGAGGCGAGCCGCAACGCGTCTCAAACAAGCCTGTTATTTCAAGTATACTACGTCATCGAGTGGCGCCGAAGGACTGTTTAAATGCATGGCAGAGACGCGCTGTCGGTGTGTTTACTAACAAGACTATCATGGCGGCAGTGGAGCTGAAGTCGAGTTTCTCCACCTGGAGATATTCTCACCATTTCACTTTTGTCGAGCACAGAGAAAAGAACGTTTTAGTTAAATGTAAGTTGTGTCTTGGCGGGTCAAAGAGCCTATCTACTGCCCAAAACAGCAATTCAAATCTGTTGAAACATCTGCTGAAACAACATGCTGGGACGAAGCTAGTAGCTAAGACCAAAGACCCAGACTCATCCGACGCCACTCCACCTAAGCAACAGCTGCTGGATTTTAACCGAGGGACTGCTAGCCAGGGAAAAGTTGATGCTATTGCACGGTATGTTGTAGAACACATGCAGGCTATTTCTACAGTGGAGTCACCCGCGTTCAGGGGGCTAGTAAGCATGATACCATGTCCGGGCGGCACACGGCACGGATTGTGTTTGTATAGAGACCACATTGCTTAGCAGAGTTCAGTGATGCAAATGCATGTCAAGTTGATTGTATTATTCTCCAATGCAATAACAGTACTGAAATGAAGGCTATAAGGGCATTAATGGGAGCCCTTTTTTTAAGTAACTAAAAAGTTACTGTTCACAGTATTAACGCATTCTTTTTTGGTGTAAGTAATCAGTAAAGTAACGGAGTTACTTTTTAAATGAAGTAATGGTAACTAGTTACTGGTTTTCAGTAACTAGCACAACACTGGACGGAAGTCCCCGGAGATGGGGACTGGCTTCAGTAGAAGCTAGAACGCCGACACCTCCTCATCTCCACCGCTCCCATGTTTTCTTTTGTGTTGCCATAAGTTAGTCTCTCTGCGTTTGTGCGCTGGGCTAATGCTAATGCGAGGATAATAAAATGGCGGCTTCACAAAACTTTGTTGGAGTTTTACGAGGCGTGGTTTGCATTCCGCCCAGCCAATCAGACATCGGAACCTTTTTCTCCGACGAAAGTACCTGCTCTCTAGCAGGTACGGAAAAGGGGCTAAAAAAGGTTCCGATGAACTCATTTTAGTTCCGGTCTCTTTTTGGTGTGAACACGACATTTCGGAACTATATCGGAACTAAAGTGGGAAAAGTACTGCGGTGTGAACGCGGCTAATAATGTTTTAAGATGTTGAAAATTTTACCAAATTACGCCAAAAGGCGGTGCTAGATAACAGGATCCCTTACTCCCTCTGGTGCTTCCACAGGTCTGTAGAGATGTCGTCTGTGTGGCAGCAGGAGCCGTCGGAGTACTCCCCCTGCGTGGAGATCGACTCCAGCTCTGTGAGGATTGAAAACACATACACCTCTCCGGCTTGGCTGAAGCAGGAACAAGACGACCTCCGCATCATCAAGTGGGAGAACTTCCAAACTGCTGCCTCAGCGGATTCTGTTCAGGACAACACACCCAGCAGCGCCATGTCAGGTAACTGCACTTCTCTGAAAATATGTCAATGTTGGTATATACGCTTCAAAGGTCACCTATTATGCAAAATCCACATTTTCATGTATTTTATACATAAACAGGTGTCCCCTCCGTTTAAAGAGACTCTGAAAGTTTCAGAAAAAAGATTTGCTCACTTTTTAAGGAGCCACTCTCCATAAGGAGTGGCTCCTTATTTTCTAAAGTAACAGACCCAGAATCAGCACTTTTGAAACAGGGCTGAAACAGAGGGATTTATGGGATGCCACAATGCATGATCTGTTTGGTATTTCAAGCCAAACACTTCAGAGACATGTTTTGTATATATAAGAGACTTATAATATATTTATGAAAAACAGTATAATAGGGGACCTTTTTAATAACCTGGTGCAATCATATCTTTATTCAAATGGGAACCACCAGTTGCAATTGTGAACTTGAACAAAGAAATCTGAATCTAAAAAAACATTTTTTGAATTTCTTTGAATCTGGCTTTGTTTGTGATTATACTCGTGTCAGATTATGAAGACCTTGATGTTTTAATTCTTAATACAGTTCATTTTTGTTACCCATGCTTAATAGGTTACAAAATAAGTGGTGTGAAAGCAACAATTCAATTCAAGGCTTTATTGTCATTTGCACATTAGCTACAGTGTAGATATGGCAATGAAAAACTTAAGTCACAGGCTCCTCCAACAATGCAACATGAGTGTATATATATATATATATATATAACAAATAAAACAGATAAATAGTGCAAGAGAATGTTTTCAGATGTGTAAGTATGCACAAATAAAATAGAAATAGTGATACAACCACATTACACGAACAGAAAAACACATTTTATGCCAGTGAAACAATTTGAGTGAAATAACAAAAATACTGTTGAATGGAACGCTGTGTTTTTTCATGCTTCTTCTTTCTTGTCTCCCTCCAGCTGGCTCACATGCAGAGAGCCTGCCCCCCCGGGTGCTGCTGACCATGACCAAGCTGCAGTGCATGCTGGAGACCAAACAGGAGCGTATCGCTGCACTGGAGAGACAGGTGGAGGACCTGATGCAGGACCGCAAGTTCCTCAGGAGCCAGATTGAAAACCTCACCAGTAACCGCTCCATGTCCACCTTTGCATCTCCCAGTCCACTCACTGAAGGTCAGTGTCCGCAGTGACCATATGTCTGATCTACACTGGTTGGATACTGTTGTAAATGTCGTTTTTTGTTGATCATACGCAGCTCCTAGACACAGCAAAGTGCAGCACTCAGAAAGCAAATCTCGGAGGAGAGAAAGAGTTTCCTCGTGTTCCCCTGACAGCAGCGACAGCGCCTCTGAAGCGTCGGGATCATCAGAATTTTCAGCGGCCTCAAGTGAACACAGAAGGAAAAAACACCACAAAGACAAGAAAAGATCGAAGAGAGGGAAGGACTACAGCAGGAAAAGGGGTACGATAATGTCTTGTCTTTATAAAGATGGTTATATATAATATAGATAACATTTCAAATGTGTATATTTGTTTATTGTGCTAGTGTGCTTCCCTGACCATTCAAGTCTATCATAAAAAATCCTACTGTTGGAAGGGCAAAGATAATAGTTATGTGATGTCAGATGGATGTAGATGTCCTCCCTTTTTAACATCAGTAAGAAATACTGATAACTAGAATGAAAACCCACAGACCTCCAAAAGGGAAACAAATATTACATTCTTCTAACACCACACAAATGCAGCTCTAATTTTCTATCCTTCAGTGCTAATGAAAATCAAACAACATTTGTGTATCCACCATTTATTATTATTGTTATTATTATTTTGAGTGGGGTTACTTGGGCCATGCTAGCCCTTTCTACCAAATCCTAAAAATATGTAGTTTTTCTGTTATTAGACAAACAATCTGACCAATAAAGTGAACCAACATTTAATTTAAATTAGAGCATTTCAAATTAGAATTTATATGAAATAGAAATCTATAAAACAGACTATTTCAAATACAATTGTGAAGGAAAACTTAGTATTTTCTATTGTAGTGGGACTGACACTTTATTTTATGTTCAAAGTCACTTCTGCATGTGCTTAAGAAGAGTCTGTGTCTGTAATGAGGAAATATTCTTAATCACCTCTGTAGTAACAATGTAAAAACATGCCTTGTTGTTCATTCCTCCAGCCACCGGAGTCCAGTACGTCATCCACCGCTACAAACAAGTCCTGTCATCCTTCGTCAAGAAGAAAAGCATGAGTGAAGCCTTCCGTCACCTCGGAATCGACCGGAACACCATCGCCAACACAGCATGTATTGCCGAGCTCCACCTGGCCGGCAAAGACATGGTCCCCCTGGTGGGGGTGTTCCGCCAAGGAGAAGAGACCCTGGTCAGCTACGCCCAAAGGTGCACCTTGGTGATTGACAGTGACGCTGACCTCTCCCGGAGGATAGACATTATGAAAGCTAACGGAGAGCTTCTGCCCATCTCGGGGAAAAGGCCCAGAGCGATGCATTCTCACCTGCAGCAGCTAGGGGGCGCTGCAGAGAGCATTTTAATAGGTTGATGATTATCTCATTTGGATGGAGAAGTGAGAAATTATGCCTTCAGAGTTGACATGCTTTTGATGATTTTACACTTATCAGAAAGACTGGATTTAAATGTCTGATGTAGCATTTTTTTGTGTATTCACATCTCAAGGAGAACAATAATGTACATTATTGAGAATCACATTCACACATTTAATGTTTATTTTTTACATAACATACATACAACTGATTTACAGCTGCTGTCACCTATACATTTTCCTTTTTTAATTGTAAGAGAAGTGTGTGTAGTGTTAGAAAAAGCCACAAGATGGCAGTGCTCACATAGCAGAGAAATCATTCCTCCTGTCATTTACTTCCAAAATGGTGGATAGTCAATTTCCATTTCCCGGCACCTTGTTTTTGTTAGAGGTGCTCATAGACTCTGTTTCCCCTTTGATTCATATGCTGTCGTTGAACCAAATTATTTGAAAACGACATTTGTTACAGTGTGTCCATGTTCCTGAGCTGCCAACAAAATGAAAAAACACTGTGTCCATATGAAAATGTTGTCTTTGTTTTTTATCCTAGGGTATATTTTCAGTGTCCTGTATCGAGACACTATCACATGATAATACTTTACATGACATTTAGTAGAATACAGAACTTTTCAGAAGCCACCTGATCTCAAGGGATGGGGAAGCAGCCCTAACATCAATCACATGATCAAACCATACTTCTGTAAGCTGAAATGTGATTCACAACGAACGAAATGCAGAAAAAATAGATGTGGTGTTACATTAGCTGTCAGAGGCGTATTTGTTTTGAGTCTCTTGACCACAGATGGAAAAGCTTGGCGAGACATCCTTGGGCGATGGTGAGTGTCAGTGCAAAGTGCCTTGCCTGCTGTTTGCTTTTCACATGGAGTGACAAATAACCTGCGCAGAGCCATTACAGAGGCTGCACTCGGGCTGTTTATCTTTGCATGGGACTGTGTCACTGTCACTCCCATTCACACGCCCGCTATCTGCTTATCTTTCACTCTCCCAATGTCCGTCCCCTCCCCCTAACCCCTGTTCCCCCTCTACTGTTTTGAACTCATTCAGTCATTTCTTATTACTTCTCATGTCTTAATCATTTTTTTTTTTTCATCTGTTTACCAAAAACAAAAGAGGTTTTAAATGGTGTACAGCAATTTCACCCCAGCAGAGGGGACCTTATGTTTCTCAGCCAGAGGGGACACATGCATTCTGGTCTGCTGAGGTAGAGATGGGTAGATGTCTCTGCCAACACATATCCTCCAACTTCCTGAGGCATGCAATCGTCACTTCTGCTCTCCTTGTCACCAGCAAGTCACAGCAAATCCTCAAATGAAAAAGGAAACAGAGTGGAGATGTTATTGACGTATATGACCATTTCAGTTTTGCATTCCCCCCCAAAATGGTCAGCAGGTTCCAAAAGAAAGCAGCAAAATGCAGCCTCCACCTGCTCCATAATACTCCAGAGTGGCAGCTGTGATTTTGGTGTTAATGACTCGGGTGATGGAGCTCAGAGCTGGAGATGGAGATAGGATGTCGGCCTAATCGAGCCTGAAGCATGCTCTCCTCCTCCTCCTCTTCCCCCGGCAGTTTGACTCACACTGGTGGTGGGGGGGCCAGCTGGGACTCCATTTTGTGTCTTTCCTGGTTGCAGGTGCCATGTCATTGCGGAGTGCCTACTCCCTGTCCAGCTTTGATCCTGACCCTGAAAGAATGAGCATCTGGACAATTCTCCCGGAGAGAAGCGTGTAATAACCACCAATCATTTCACCACTTCAAGCACGTCAAATGTGTTTGAACTGGTGAAATGGCCCGGGTTATGTTTTGTTGTCATACTGCCAGTGTGTGCCAGAATTGCTGCGTAATAAATGCCTTTTTATAAAAGGATTACAAGGCCTGGAATAGAGCAAAAGAGGTCAGACTTGAGCAATTGATTTTGTGCTCTCTGGGGAAAATAGTTCTTGGCTTAAAAAAAACACAAATACTGAGATTATTTTAAGATATTGAGTAGATTGTGTTGGCCTCTCCATGGGTTTATTGTTTCCAGCTGATTTGTAATGGAGTGCCATTACATTTATCTTTTCAATAGAAATAATTGCTTAGATTTTTGTGTTTTATGAAAACCTTTTTCACAAATTTAGCAGCATTTCAAAGAGCATCCATTGTTTCCCTGTTTTATTGAAGGGCTGTATTAAGTAGGGATTTTCGTATTTTACATATTTCGACCATATTTTTTTTGCATGAATCAAATTTGTTGAAATTGTTTTGGGGATGGAATACAATTTGAAATTCAATTCTAACTTTCAGGAAGAAAGCTAATAATTGTATTTGTTACTGCAATCTTAGGAAGAAACCTTTATTTTCTATTTGGACACAATTATTTTTGAAAATGTCCTATTTTGACAGCAATTTAAATACAATCTGTTTGAAAGTTTGGTAGCTCTGCCCACAAAGTACAAGTTGTTCTTGCTTTTTAAATTGTTTCATATCTTTAGTATCTACAGAGTGAGTCTGGTGTTTTTTTAACAGTGACATGATCCGTCTTTACACTCAATGATACATTCCCCGGAGCAAAGATGACCGCTTCATTACTAGAGGACTAAACAACATACCAGTAGTCATCAGAGTTACTCACATTTTCGCCTTGCATTTGGAAACGATTCCAAATGTGTGGTCAGGCTGAAGAAAAGCAGGAGAGGCATGCTCACACAGATTTGAATTCCTGAATGTGAACGGAGGGTTGATGTGACAGTGTGTGAGAGCCTCTTCACCTTTCATTCTCCCTTGTTCCTGCTGCTAATGAAATCTCAAAATAACCTACTGGCTGTAGAGAAAGTGGGTCAGAGCACCAAATGTGACGCCTATTCAATACAAAAGCATCAAGTAGTGCATTATGGGTATTTCCCCCTGTGGTAAAATTGAGGTTGGGGCTGGAGTCTGAGTAGTGTGGGTGATCTATTCTTGTCCTTTCTCTGCAGTGACATCAGAGTGCTGGTGGAGCAGTCAACAACAGTTTTCGTCAACGCACTGTCAGAGTTTCTTCATCAGCTTTTTACTGGAAGGGAAAACACACACACACACACACACACAGGCATGTCTTTCTCCTCAGAGCTATTGTCTCATTCACTGCATGACAACCCCCCCCCCCC